ATTTTAGAATTTTATGTATTATTTTTGCTTTATACTTGCTTGCACCCAATTTCCCCTTCTTCATTTGCACCTGCTAAGAAATATTGACAAATGGAGAAGCCACCTTGATGAAGCTAAAGCTGAGAATAAACTTGAACAAGGTCTAGATTCATACAGCTATTGTCAAAACTTAAATGATGTGAGTTGTATATTTGTTATGCAAATGACCATGTTACATGAGATTTTAGTCAATTGTAACCCATGTGTGTAAAAACACAAGAACATAGCCTTGGCCAGTTTGGCCTAGCAGTTAGATCATCGGCCTGAGGACCAAAGAGTCACAGGTTCGATTTCTGTCAAGAGCACGTACCTTGGTTGCGGTTTGGTCCCAGTCCTGGTCGAGGTCATGTAGGAGGCAACCAACTGATGTGTTGCTCTCACATCGATGTTTCTCTCTCTCCCCCACTCTTCTATTCTCTCCAAAAATCAATAGAAAAATATCCTCGGGTGAGATTAACAAGAAAGGAAGAAAGGAAGGAAGGAAGGAAGGAAGGAAGGAAGGAAGGAAGGAAGGAAGGAAGGAAGGAAGGAAGAAAGAAAGAAAGAAAGAAAGAAAGAAAGAAAGAAAGAAAGAAAGAAAGAAAGAAAGAAAGGATGTTCCTTTTCTAGTACAGAATATTGTAGACTGTTCCCAGATTCCCCGATCTTCACCGATTGAACTGATGGTTGCTCAGTCTACCAAGTAATGGAAGACAATGGGTCCAGCCCATTAGCCAAATAGAAAAGCCAAAACTTGAGCATTTCTTTCCTTTTACCTTCTCTGGAAGGTGTTTGGAGCTCTTGCCTTACTTCTGTTAACAAGCACAGCCACACACTGACATTGACAATGCTAATCTGTGCTCTTGTCCTGGAAACTGTCTAACCTCTTGGGGAAGGCAGAAAGCCTAACCACTCACATTCTTGAGGTGTGGGGGTTTCTTCTTCCTAAAGCAAGTTAGCTCAGCAAGTCTTCCAGACCAGTGTCATCCCTCCCGACTTTGTGTCCCAGAAATTCGACTGCAAATATATTTTCAAACATAAACATTTTATAGGGATCAATTTTCTAGGGAAAAGAAGTCAGTTTAGTTGTAGAGGAGGAAGTGGCACCAAGTCCTAGGGGCTCTCTAAACCGTTGTGAGAATGGGAAGTTCTAAATCTATGCTGACCTTGAATGTGGGTTTTGACTGAGGAACTTAGTGGGTTTTCATTTTAATTTTAATAGCCTCATATAGCTACTAGTTACCACATTGAACAGTGCAGCTCTTTTCTTCCTGTTGGGACAGATGTGGCTGACTATGGGTGATTTTCATGTTAACCCTGGAACCTTTAGTTGTGCCCTTTCATTATGAAAAGCTAGAAACTTGTGCATTATCTGAATAGAATAGATTTAATGGCCTGGGCCAGACTTCTGTGTGTTCAAGCTTGGATCTGCTTTTCATAGGTCCCCATCTCCCAAGGTTGGAGGGAATTTGAATAATATGATAGGCTCTAAACACAGCAAGGGGAACTTATTTCTCCTTGGCTTGTTTTCTCATCAGTTTTTAATTTTTATTTATTGATTCTAGAGAGAGGAAGTGGGGGGAGAGAGAGAGAGACATTGATTTGTTGGCCTCCTTATTTATGCATTCATTGGTTGCTTCTTTTATGTGTCCTGACCAGGGATCAAAACCTCAACCTTGGCGTATCAGGATGATGCTCTAACAGAGCTACCTGGCCAGGGCAGAAGTCTCAACTTTTTTTTTTTTAATTCTCACCCGAGGATATTTTTCTATTTATCTTCTGATAGAGTGGGAGGGAGGGAAACAGAGATAAACATCGATGTGAGAGAGACACACTGACTAGTTGCCTCCTGCATACCCCGACCAGGGCTGGGGATGAACCGCAACCAAGGTACGTGCCCTCAACTGGAATCAAACCCATGACCCATTGGTCTGCAGGTGGACACTCTAACCACTGAGCCAAACTGGCCAGGGCAGAATTCTCAACTTCTTAATATTGCTTAGGGAAATAGAATTTGGCAGTCCTTTCTTCTAGCCAATTCATGATGACCAATACAAAATTACCAATTAGGTATTTTTGAACCCAATATTCAACCTAACATCAATTAATATTTTCCTCCTATAAGGCTTAAGCAATTGTATGGGGTGCCACTTGCTTTCTTTTCAGTCTCAATAGCACTTTGTTTTTATATACTGGGTAAGAAATCATGGAATTCGTGGGAGCAAGAAAATAATAAAAATAAAAAGAACTGGAGGGAATTTGAATAATATGATAGGCTCTAAACACAGCAAATTTTAATGAAGATCTAGGATGTTTAGGATATTAGAATGTCAACTGGGTTTCTTGTATTGGTGAGCTGCAGGGAAGAGTAACATACAACACAGTCAGCTCAACCTGTTTAACCTGAATATAACAATGTGCTTGCCGTTGGCGCTGCAGGAGCAGCAGAGGCAGTGGTGTTGGGAGGCATGGAAAGAGCAGCCGAGACCGTGGAGGCCAAGCTGGAAAGGACAGTAGGATGGCCAAGGCTAAGGCAGTGTCTCGCTCACTGAGAGCGCACTACAGTTTCCATGGGCTGCATCCACAGACATTTGAATACTTGCACCACAAACCACAAAAGGGTCAGTGTCACCACTGCAGTGTACAGTGCCACAATCCTGGAGCACCTCACTGCTGAGGTGCTGGAGCTGGGAGGTGATGCTCCCCAGGATCTCAAAGTATCGCAGATGACTCCACGTCACTTGCAGCTTGTTATACATGGTGATGAAGAGTTGGACTCTTATCAAGGCTACCACCGCTGGGGGTGGTGTGGTCCCTCACACCCACGTCTCTGACTGGAAAGAAGGGACTGTAGAAAACTGCATAGAGTTGTTTTAACCAACCTTCTTCCTCCCATCATTGTACTGTAAATGAAAAAGGAAAACTAATGAGGATATGTGGATTTTCAATAAGATAAATGGAAAAGCTTAATTACTATGGACACGATAAAAGGAATATTTGTACATTCTTAAACTTGAAGTTTGATAAAAGTACCTTTCCACATGGCAACAGTTGTGTTTTTGCTGTGTATGGATTGGCTAGATTTCTCCCATGTGTTTTATACAAATTGACAAAAAAATTTTTTTTTAAATGTGCTTGGAGTAACTGTGGGAATTAAAAGGATATGGCGCCCTGGCCGGTTTGGCTCAGCGGTTGGAGCATCAGCCTGCGGACCAGAGAGTCCTGGGTTCAGTTCCCACTAGGGGCACATACCAAATAAATAAATAAATAAATAAATAAATAAATAAATAAATAAAAGGATGTGGCTCCTCAAGGACTACTGTTGACACTGCTTGAGTACAAGCCATTACTTGTGAGTAGAGGTGTTGAAACACTGGTAGAAGAATGAAGAGACACAGATAAGGGGAGGCAGCTGATAAAACAGCTGCCATGTGGTTGAATGTGAGTAATCCCATGGGAAAATCTGAAAACAGTATATAACACATGCTTCAGAGATAGTTCACCTAGGGGGAGGGAAATCTGGTTGATATCCAATTCCCATCAAGCATTGTGTAAGGCCTGCTCCCAGGATGTGCTAGTGACACCCAGAGAACAGTGTGGCCTTTCACGGTTTTAGAAAAAGCCTGCAGACCAAGAGATGAAGACAGTGCAAGGGAGATGAAACACACAGAAGGGGTTAGGCCAGAGGAACAGGAGCAGGGAACCATTAGCATCTGCTATAAACACTGACTCTCAGTAGAATGTAGTAGCACAGCAATTTTCAACCAGTGTACTGCGGAACACAGTGTGCCGAAAGAATTTTTTTAAATATGCAATACCTATTAAGTCAGATGCACTGATGTCTTTTCCCCAATAACCATCCAGTGTGAATGAATCAAAATACCTAATTATTTTGTCAAATCAGTAAAAATTTTATTTTTTGGTATGCTGTTGAATTTTAGTAATTACTTTGTGTGTGCCATAAGATGAAAAAGATTGAAAATTGCTAGAGTAGCCCTGGCCTGTTTGGCTCAGCGGTTAGAGCATCAGCCTGCAGTCCCGAGAGGCCCGGGTTCGGTTCCCGCTAAGGGCATGTACCTTGGTTGCAGTTTGTCCCCGGCCCTGGTCGGTCGTGCGGGTGGCAGCCACTCGATGTGTCCCTTTCACATCGATGTTTCTCTCTCTCCCCCGCCCCCCCCCCCCCCACTGTACCTGAACAAAAAATGTCCTCGGGTGAGGATAAAAAAAATAAAAAAATAAAAAAATAAAAAGAAAATTGCTAGAGTAGCACACTAATTTTATTTTAAAATATTAGTAATTCTTAACTCCTCACTAGCTACTAGTGAGTAGCACTTACTTTTAAACAGCCTATCAATATCAGGTCATTATTCTGTGTGAAACCAAGAAGGCATTCTTTTTTTATTTTTTTATTTTTTTGTTTTTTTATCCTCACCCGAGGACATTTTTCCATTTTTTTGTGCAGATAGAGCAGGAGGGAGAGAGAGGAAGAGAGAGAGAGAGAAACATCGATGTGAAAGGGACACATCGAGTGGCTGCCACCCGCACGACCAACCAGGGCCGGGGACAAACTGCAACCAAGGTACGTGCCCTTAGCGGGAACCGAACCCGGGTCTCTCTGTACCGCAGGCTGACGCTCCAACCGCTGAGCCAAACTGGCCAGGGCCAAGAAGGCATTCTTAAATCATTCACAATTAAGTGATCTCCACCCTGGGGGACCACAAAGCAAAGCTACCACACCTCCCATCTGCCTTAACTTGACTTGGGTGAATGAAAGTACAGGGACTCAAGGGACACTGGACACAACAGCCTATCACATTTTCTTTTAAGTAATTCTGGACTACAGCAAGATTACCTATTAAATGAGGGCCCCCACAGAAAAAAACAGTTCAGCTCCTGCTTATCAATTTTCATAAAACAACCTAATTATACACATGTGCAATCATGGCAAGTTCCAGTCTTTAAATTATAGCTCTTCTGAGTAGTCAGGTAGCTACCTGCTCTCTGTGAGTACCCTGATGCTTAATAAAGCTTGTGTGCCAACTGAAAGATTTCCCGCATTTGTCACATCTATAGGGTCTCTCTCCATTATGAATGACTTCATGTCGACGAAGATTTGACTTAAAACTAAACGTTTGTCCACATTCTCTACATTCAAATAATTTCCCCTTAGTATGGGTCCTTTGATGCTGAATGAGATCTATATTCTGACCAAAGGATTCTTCACATTCACTGCATTTGTGAGCGTTCTGTTTACTGTGAATTTGTTGATGGCTCTTAAGGGTTGAATTCCGAACAAAGGCTTTTCCACATTCAAAGCATTTATGGGGTTTTTCTCCACTGTGGATTATCTGATGTTGAATTAGGGTTGAATTCTGACTAAATGTTCTTTCACATTCACTACATTTATAGGGTTTTTCTTTGGTATGGACCCTTTTATGTTCAACAAGATAGGCCATCTGACGAAAATATTTTCCACATTCATGACATTTATATGGCTTTTCTTGAGGGTGACATTGTTTATGGACATTAAGAGCAGACTTCTGTTTGAAGGCTTGCCCACATATGTCGCATTCAAAAGGATCCTCTGAAGTGTGAATTCTCTGATGTCGAACAAAATTTGCCTGACGCTTGAAGACTCTTCCACATTCACTGCATTCATAAAGTTTTGCATTTGTAAGAATTGGCTCATGCCTCAAAAGCAATGATCTCTGATTGAAGGGGTTTCCATACTCATCACATTTGCCCTGATTCTTACTTGTTTCAGCAATCTGATCTTGCAAAAGATTAAGATTTTGAAGCAAGTCCTGGTTGCATTCATTACCAACAGCAGGGAGTGCAACTCTGTAAATGTCCACAAATTTGTTAAATTTATGTAACTTGTCTGTAGGTGTTATGGCCGTCTTCTGCTTTACCATTGATAACTTACATGACTCTAAATTTTCTGCTTTGGAGTTAGCTTTATCATCTGGTATCTGGCTTCAGAACCTAGTGAAACAAAAAGAAAATATATAAATGACCTGTCCAGTACAGAAGGAAAAAGGGAAAAGAAGCCAACTGTTTGTTATATGAGACACTCAAACGAAGCTAAGAAATCCTCACTTAGTTACATCATCATACTAAAGAGGCCAAAATTCTGATGATTTTCATAGGACTCTCAGCTTTTATAACTGAAAGAGCTCTTGACATCAACTAACTGACTAAAAAATGCACAAGAGTGTGTTAGAGAATGTGAGAATTGAATGAACCCCTCACCATTACTGAAAAAGCAACTTAATATAGGTACTCAGTAGTGTCACATAAATGTAAGAGAAGGGTATCTCATACTGTCTAAATAAGCATGTTTTAAGCAATTCTGGGGAAAAGAACTTAAAAATAAAGTGTTAGGACAGAATAGAAAAGGAACCAGAGAGAAGTAGGTACAAAAGCCAACAAAACAGAACAGTGGTTCTCAACCAGGGGTGGTTTTACTTCCTAGGGGACATCTGACAATATCTAGAGACATTTTTGGTGGTCATAACTGGAGTGGTGCTACTAGAATCTAATAGGTAGAGGCCAAGAATACTACTAACCATTCTACAATGCACAGGACAGCTCCCCTTCAACAAAGAATAATCCAGCCCAAAATGTCAAAGTGCCTCAACTGAGAAACCTTGGAAGAGAGGGATGTGGAAAAGGGCAGAAGTAGCAACAAGACATAGTAATTAGGAAAAAGTAGGTACCATCAAGAAACATCAGGTAACACAAAAAACAAAGTGAAAGCCAGGGAACAAGAGGAAGTAGAGAGCAAGGATAAGTAATGAGGGTAGAATAAAGCAGCAGAACTGGCATAAGAGCTGTCAGTAAACACCAGAAGATGCTTCAGAGAAGTGCTTTAATACAAAAGAGAATGAACTTTGCAGACTCGAAATCAAATCCCAACTAGCAATCTTCTGTGTGATATGTATCTTAAGCTATTAGTTTCTTCATCTGGAAAATGGGGCTGATGGTATTACTACTACCTTCAGAGGGTAGTAGGGATGAAAAAGTGGGAGAATATATGCTAAACACCTGGCTCAGTATTTGGGACACAGAAGAGGCTTCATTAATGTGACTTCCCTTCCTCTTTATGTTTTCTGCTTGACTGGGTCTTCTCACCCACCTGGGCAAGCACTACTGGAAGCCTTCCTACTCCCAGCTCTTGGTAGATCCAGGATCCATGGGTCTCCCCACTGCTCCAGCAGACAGATCACCTCAGGTTTAGGAATCTGAAATCCTACTCGTGGGGAAGTAAATGGGACGTGGTGGTTAGTGAGTTATAGAGAGATGTTCTAGAGCTCAGTTTAACCCCTTTGGGTCTTCGGTAGCAAGGAGATAAAGACAATAATCAAAAGGGCTCCTGAGAATAAAAATCTGCACAATCTTTGTGAAAATCTGGCAACCTTTACTGACAGCCTGAATGATAGTCACACCCTTCGATGTGGTAAATGCACTCTTAGAAGTACAGCCTAAGGAAAAATTAATGTTTCAGAGATGTTCAGCAGAGTGGTAACAATGCAAAAGTGGAAATAAATTAAATGTTAATAGCGGAATAATTAAAGCATAGCACATTAATACAATAAAGGAAAAAGTATTAGGCACACATTAAAAATCCATGTGTTCAAAAAATATCTATTAAAACAGAAAAGTGCTCCTTGTATATTTTTAAAGCAGAACACAAAACTCATGTACAATATAATTCAAAACTCATATAAAGTATGATCCAAATTCTGTATTTTAAAACTATATGTGTGTGTATATGTACATAAGTATACATATATATGAAAAGACTAGGAAAAAGTAAACCAAAATGTTGACAAGTTATTTCTAAGCAGTGGGCCTGCAATAACCTTTATTTTCTACTCTATTATTGAAAAATCATTTAATAATATGTATATATTAAGAGACTTAAAAGTACCATACCCTTTAACTCCAAAATTCCAATCCAAGAAATATATCTTAGGGAATAATGAGAAATTAATATAAAGATTTATAGTCAGAAGTACTCATTGGAATGTTATCATATAGAAAATGATAAACACACAAAGCCAAACTTAACATCGCTAAATGGGAAAATGATTAAATATTATGGATAATACAACAGATTTACATTAAGACCATTTACTGTATTTATGAGGGCTTTTAATAAAGCAGGGAAAATGCTTATGCTATAATGTTGTTTTAAGGGATTATAGAATTATACAAAGAATATGCTCAGCTGCATTTTTTAAAGCATAAGGGAAAAATAAAATGAAGGAAATACTCCAAAATATTAATAGTGTTACTCCTAAATACTTTCTCCTTCCCTTTATGCTTCCATGTATTCAAGTATGCTCAAGTAATTTTTTAAAGAAAAAGAAACATTAAAAATCCAGAGGTGGGTAAATAATCCTACGACAGACACTGTGCTAAGAGTGTCAGTGTGGGAGTCAAGTATCTGTCCCCAAAAAGAAAACTATTTATCCAGGAAACTCCCACAGTAGGACATTCTGCATTGGATTAAGAGAAAGTCTGGCTCCTGGGAACAAAGAAGCTGTGAAGGTTCAGAAATGAAGTCAGTTAAAAATCATTTCCTGGGCAACTGTGATGTTGCACATAAGGAAGGAACCCATTTCCAGAGAAAAGAAAGAAGACATTTCTAGAGAGTAATAAGCTAGCCTTTGGAATCCAATCAGCCACAGACTTTTCAGCTCTAAGACGTCATTGATGTGGAGGCCAATGGTGGTGGGAAATGAACTCTAAAACAAAAGGAAACTTCTTCGTCTATAATCCCTTATCTGAAAACCTGAAAAGGATGAGTTTCAGGATTCAAATTTTTCCAGATTTTAGAAAGGTGACTTTCTATTGTATACTACACCAAACCTCAACAGGATTTGGAGCTGTACCTTTACCAGGGCGGGGAACTATTTTTCTGCCAAGGGCCATTTGGTTATTTATAACATCATTCTCATGCCATACAAAATTATTGAATTAAAAATTAGACTGCTATATTTGATCAGGCTAATTGGTGAGGCGTGTGATGTTAGCTGGTATTGATTTCAAGGACCTTATACATCCCAGAGGCTGGACGTTCCCCACCCCTGCCAAACACACTGATAATTCTGATGCTAAATATACAGATACAAAGATCAAAGGGGAAAAGGAAGGATGATAGCTTCCCGAAGGATGAAGTCAGGCACAGCCACCAGATGACTTCAGGTTGGATCTTGTAGCCAAATGAGTTATGAAAACATTTCTGATTCTCAGCGTTTTTTCTGATTTTGGAATTGCAGAACAGGGATTGAGGATTAGCGTAGACACTCAAAGGCAAATCTTTAAGCCAAATCATTACCCAATAAAATCATGTTTCTGTAATTCTCCAGCATCACATCTCTGTAGAGGTCCTTTTGAGCCCAGTCAAGTTTAATCCACTCTTCTCTGATGAAGTACATAGCTACATCCTGAAAACACAGCGACTAAGTATAGCTTCAATTCAGACAATAACTTTGTGAGCTGTTGTTATTATTCTATAGATCAGGCTTGATGAGATAAAGTGATTTGGCCAAGCTCATTCGATTAGTAAGCAGATTCAGGGATCAACTTCAGTCTTCCCACTCTCAAGCCAGATGTGTTCTTTTTTTTCCTATGCTAGAGTCAACAAACTTTTTCTTTAGAGGGCCAGATGGTAAATAGTTTAGGCTTCTCAGACCCTTTGGTCTCTGCTGCAATTATTCAGCTCTACTGTAGCACAAAAAAGAAGGCCATGGAAAACAAATGGGCATCACCGTGTTCTAATAAAACTTTACTACCAGGTCCAGGTCAGCTTGCCAAACTCTGCTCTATACAACACTACCTTTTATAAATGATATATTTTTTTCTGTCTGGGTTCACATAGGGAAAAGATAACACACTCATATGAGGTCATTGAGGATACTTTAGTGTGCAGACCAGTCACAAAAGAATGGACAGGCTTCCAACAGGGCCTGCTGCAGCCTGCAGGAGCTGGTTATGCTGGGGAACCATTACCCATTAGGTCTGAGGCAGAAGGCAGGCGAGGGATTATTAGAATCCAGAAAGTGTTGGAGAGAAAACTAGGTTGCAACCAGGGCCTTAGAGAAATGCAGCCACTGTCATTCAGTAGCCTAGTAGGGAGGAAGCTGTGGGAATAAACACCTGACATTAATTTCCTCCAAGCCTCTGGTCCCCTGACTTCCACCATTCCATTGCCAAAAGCCAACCAGAAGCCCTGGCCGATTTTGCTCAGCAGTTAGAGCATCAGCCTGTGGTCCAGAGAGGCCCGGGTTCAGTTCCCACTAAGGGCATGTACCTTGGTTGCAGTTTGTCCCTGGCCCTAGTTGGGTCATGCAGGTGGCAACCACTCGATGTGTCCCTTTCATGTCAATGTTTCTCTCTCTCTCCTCCTCCCACTCTATCTGAACAAAAAATGGAAAAATGTCCTCAGGTGAAGTTAAAAAAAACAAAAAACAACCAGAAGCCAGAGGGACGGGAGCCCTCTGATGGTAAATATAAAGATCAGCCTCCCAGGGCAAAGACCAAAGTATGGAAGAGTGGAGAGTATATCCAGAGGGATCAAGTGTTCAGCACACTGTACAAAGTAGATGTTTCCATTTGCAAACATGTGTTCACCTCATCTGGGCAGAGAAGTAAGGTGTCTCATTCATATGCTATTGCAGCTCTTAGAGCAGGTGCCTGATTGTCTGCCACCACCCTCCTTTCTCTTACAAGACATTGTGTGGATTCAGGGAGTATTTGTGCAGAACAAAGGTGCTCAGTAATAGGGACTAGTCACCCCCATCCTGAGCTTCTTGTAGCTCCCTCTGGAAACAGACACCAGAATTTCCCAAATTACAAGGCCTTCTTTTCATCCTTACTGAACCTGACTTCCTCTCACCATCATCTGAATGCCCCTCCTTTTATTGTCTCCTGAACCTGACCAACTCAATGGTCTGCATTCTCTGCATTTACATGAAGGTTAACAGGTGCCAGGGGATGAAATAGCTTACTCTCCCATCAAGTTACCTCTGTACATTTGGTTTTACAGTTGGGCCTTAATGATTCTTAACAACTCTTGCTCTCATATTCCCCCTCAGAGGTACTCTACATATTTATTACTCTTGTTCCTTGAAGAAACATTCACTAAGTGCCAATAAGTATTAACCTTCATGCAATATGCCAGTAATAAAAATAAAGGTTACAACTCAGGCTGTGAATGCTCAACTCTAAGGACACTACTAACATCACAGCTATGTAATGGGGCCCCCTAAAGTTGCTAAGTACACAACTGTACAACCCCATAGCAGTCCTGGGCCCTGCTTCAGGGAGTGAATGATCCAGTGGAGGAAGATGGAGAAATCAACATGGTAACGATACAGTGGTCAATACCCTACGGGAGGTCATCAGAGGGGGCTGTGAGGACAGGGAGCTCACCTTCCTTTCAAAAGGCTGTCAGTTATGTCCCAGAAAATAGCCATGGGGCACATGCTCTTTAACTCCTCTCACACCCCCCACCACCTCCCCTAACATTACCTACAATTTTACCCATCCCTCTCCTTCTCACTCAGAGGAAGAGGTTGCCCTTCCTCCTCTGCCACTGATTCCATTCTCTCCTGTCTCCTCCAGGGTCTGAATTCAATGATGATGAGTCTTCCTTTTCTATCTTTCCCCTTGTAATATTGTAAAAAAAAAAAAAAAAGTATATTTGGTCTTTATCCCTGTTCGTTGCACAGAGCTCCCAAAACCCCAGGAATTTCCTAAAGAAATAACAGCAAATGAGCATCTTTTAACATCTGGTCTTTTGTCCTCAGTTTCTGAGAAAGCTCCAGAGCCATAAAGGTGAAAGTAATGTCCTGTTACTTATAATACATTTCTTCCACCAGATCTGAGTTTATGTTAATGACACCAACTTTAGAAAGTCCCTAAAAATAGGAGAACAACCATGGGATTAGAGGGTTAGAACTCTCAGACCCCTTCCACTCCCCAACTAAGAGGGGGAGAGAGGAGCTGAAGATTAAACCTATCATCAAAGGCCAATGAGTTCACCAATCAAATCTATGTAATGAACCTCCATTAAAACCTCAAAATGGGTTGCTGAACTTCTAGAGATGCTGAAAGGGTGGTGTGCCCGGAGATAGTATGGAAGATCTGTACCTCTTCCTACATACCTTGCCCTATGCTCGCTCCCAGCTGACTGTTCCTGAGTTATGTCCTGAGTTATGTCCTTTTATAATACATAAGTAATCTAGGTAAACTGTTTTCCTGAGTCTTTGAGCCACTGCAGCATATTAATGGTACCCGAGGAGGGGGTCATGGGAACCTCCAATTTATAGCCAGTCATTCAGAAGCACAGGTGACAAACTGGACTTGTGATTGGTAGCTGAAGTAGGGGGCAGTCTTATGAAACTGAGGCCTTAACCTATAGGGTCCTATGCTAACTCCAAATAGGGTGTCAGAATTGAGTTAAATTGCAGGGCACTTAGCTGGTGTCACAACTGGTTGATAGGTAGAAAAAACCCATATCTGACCCTGGTCAGTTTGGCTCACTGGTTGGAGTGTCAGCGCTGGACCAATGAGTCATGGATTCGGTTCCAGTCAAGGGTATGTACCTTGGTTGCAAGTAGTCCCCAGCCCTGGTCAAGGTCATGTGGGAAGCAACCAGATGATGGGTCCCTCTCATGTCAATGTTTCTCTCTCTCTCCCCCTCCCTCCCACTCTACTAAATATAAACAGAAAAATATCTTTGGGTGAGGATTAAAAAAAAAGAAAAAAAACCCACATCTGGTGTAAGAAATGAAGTGCGAAAATAGAGAAACACAGGAGTGTTCTTTCCTAAACATTCATTCCTCTACTAACTCCTTCCCCTTAGCCAGCAAAAATGCTAAAATGTCTCCTATTCTTAAAAAAGATGTGCCTTCTGGAACTAGCCCAAGTGCCCATCAGTAGATGAGTGGATAAAAAAAGTGTGCTACAGCCCTGGCCGGTTTGGCACAGCGGTTGGAGCGTCTGCCTGCGGTACTGAGAGACCGGGGTTCGGTTCCCGCTAAGGGTACGTATCTCGGTTGCAGTTTGTCCCCGGCCCTGCTTGGTCGTGCAGGTGGCAGCCACTCGATGTGTCCTTTCACATCGATGTTTCTCTCTCTCTCTCTTCCTCTCTCTCCCTCCCGCTCTATCTGAACAAAAAAAAATGGAAAAATGTCCTCGGGTGAGGATAAAAAAAAAAAAAAAAGTGTGGTACATTTACACAGTGGAATACTATGCAGCTGTAAAAAGAAAAAAAGGAAGGCTGTCTTACTCTTTGAGACAGCATGGAAGGATCTGGAGAGTATCATGCTAAGCAAAATAAGCCAATCAGAGAAAGAACAAGTATCTCATGTTCTCACTTATATGTGAAGTCTAATGAACAAAATAAACTGATGAACAAAACAGATCCAGAGACATGAAAGCAGGGAACAGACTGATGAACCTCAGAGGGAAGGGGGATTGGTAGGAAGAGATTAACCAAAGACTTATATGCATATATGCATAACCAATGGACACAGAAAGCAGTGTGGTGAAGGCATGGAAGGGGGAAGGAGTGGGGTGAAGGGGGTCAATAGGGAAAAAGGGGGAGGCATCTATAATACTTTCAACAAAAATAAATAAATTAAAAAAAAAATATATATATATATATATATATACACACACACACGCACACGCACATACACATATATATCCTTATATATGCCACACATATATATGCCATGCTGCCTGGCTGGTGCTGCTCAGTGGTTGAACATCAATCTATACACCAAGAGGTTGCAGGTTCGATTGCTAGTCAGGGCATATACCTGGGTTGTGGGCTCTATCCCCAGTAGGAAGTGTGTAGGAGGCAGCTGATCAATGTTGTTGTTTCTCTCTCATTGATGTTTCTCTCTCTCCCTCTCACTTCCTCCTTCTCTCAAAACAATAAAAACAGAATTTTATTATTATTATTATTATTTTTATATGAATTTTTATTTATTTTTTTGTTACAGATATTTTACCTTTTTACCCCATTGGCACCCCCCACCCTACCCCCCCTCCACCCTGTCCCCGGCTTAGTTGTCCATGTCCATTGGTCATGCACACATGCATATAAGTTCTGTGGTTTATCTCTTCCCACCCCCCCACCCCCCATCCCCTCTTCTGAGGGATGTCAGTCTAAAAACAGAATTTTAAAAAAGTGCCTTGCACCTTGCTTCCCCTCTGGTTTCTACTCTTTCTTTTTCCCTTATTGGACAGCTTCTGCAAAGAAAACTCTACACATTCACCTGCAATCTCTCCACAACCCACCATCTAGATTAGGCCTCCATAGCTCCTCTGAAACTGTTCTAAACTGTTGCCAATCTCCCTCCCCCTCACCCCCACCCACGCGTGCCAACTTGGGGACACAGGCAAGAATAATGTAGTTAATGTAGGAAGTAAGAGAGGTTTTCACAGAGAAGATGATTTTTTAGTTGAGTCTTAAAATATGAATAAGTGAGTTTGCCTGTGGACAGTGACAACAAAAAAATACAAAAAAATGGAGGATCAGAAGAGCACTATGCATTCCTGGGGGGAGACTGGAAATAAAGCTGAGAAGGCAGTCAGTTTCAAGATCCCTCAGAAAATGCAGACATGCTGGAGCAATATGGTGGTCCATCCATACAACTTGAATTCCCTCCTTCCTGATCAAGAATGTTCTTTTAAAATCGTTACAGTGGCTTCCCAACTTGTCCATTACTTTTAAACTCAGTTTCTTATAATCACCTGCCATAATTTTACAAATTCAATAACTAGGCTTCCATTATATCCTTTAGTACTAACAGATCTGAATTTACCCCTGTATTATAAGAATTTATATATCTACCTTTTGAAACATCTTATAAACTCCTTCAGGTAAGAGTTTATCTCCCAGCATAAAATATACAGTAGGTACACAATAATGTTCACCAACAAAAACAATAAAACATGGTTACAATAGCTAAAACTTAGCACGCTTAAAATGTAACTAGATACTATGCAAAGTACTCCACATATCTTATTATATTTAATCCTCACGACTCTTTGCTACAGGTACCACCATTATCCCATTTTACACATAAAGAAACTGGCCCAGAGAGCTTATGTAACTTGCTGATGATAACACATCTAAAACAGAACATGGATTTGAACCTGTATGAACTTCAGAGTTTAAGGTCTTTACATCACCTTCCAAAGAAAGAAAAATCCCCAGATTGATAAAGATGGCTCAACCTGCACAAAGGAGTTAAACACATGTTAAAACCATCGCCCAGCCACAGGGACTATACTGAGGAAGCGGAGAACCCAGCTTACCTTCCATCCAGTTGTCAGAAACACAGCTTCCATGGCCTGGTTTCTAAGATGGGGCAGGATCCTGGCCACCAGGCTAAGCTGAAGGAGAAAAAAGGATAACAAACAACTGAGGCCAGCCCACATTTGAACCTCTCTCACTAGGCAACTCTGGGAATTCCAACAGGGCTAACAAACCTCAGCTAATACAAAGTCAGAGTGTTTTATGTTGGAATATGTGTTAAAATGAAAGGAGCCACTAGAAGAGTCTATTTAGTAATTTCCGAAGCTAGATCCATTTTCAAAGCTATATCCAAAAGGACCTGTGGCCCTGCCCTCCCCTTCTCCCTAGAATATACTCTGCAATACCTTATTATAAAAATAGCACTCTAACCAGCAACCAGCCCAGAACTCAAACCACAACCAATGCAGCAACAGGCCCCAAATCAGGACTTATCCCTAACATTTATTCCCCTCTTCAACAGAGAAGGACCAATAGAGAAAGCCAAACATGCTCCCTGCAGGCCCAATCACATAGGATGCCCCCACTTCTATTAATTTAACCTGCTCCAGGTTTCTCAAGCCAACAACTCCAAACTGGGCATGTTTCAGCTTTCCATTTTTTCCACTGTAACACTTTCCCTTCCCTGCCTGTGAGTCTCTGCTAAACACAAGTGATGGTGGTTGACTCCCTTGCTATAGCATGCTCTGAATGAAGAGCCTTTGCTTGTTATTTTGGTGGTCTTCATTCATTTCTACATCATGCAGAATCAGCTCAGAGAGTGTAAAAATTATTTTAGGACAGTTATCAGATTTCAGGCTATGTATTATACACAAAGAGGTAATTACTGTCAAAAAGAAATTCAGCTTTATACGGATATTTTATTGAGCAAGGAACAAACTGTAAAGAAGGAGACTTCAAAACTCAAAGTGCTAAGAAATTGGGTTCTCAGCAATTACTGCTCAGTTTGTAAGGCATGTGAGGGATAGCAGAATACACCACGCCAAAATAAGCTCCTTTGGAATATTTTTGAGCTGCAGGCACTTGAAAAACAGCAAATGCAGAGAGGCTTTCTATGAACTCCTTTATCTGCCTAAAGACAGATCCTCCCAAAGGAACTCAACTGTCAAATCCCTCCTTGGGAGTTTCATCAACCAGGGAAGATTGACTCTTATCACTGGAGAGGAGAACAGAAGTCAATACCACACCCAGACAAACTTTAACACAAACTATCAGACCTCCCATCTATTCTTCTAAGGGCTCATTCATCTTTCCTAAAAATCTTTTACTCTCCTCTAAGAGGCCTACATCCTCCCTCCCCTTTCCCTATTAAGATGGTATTTAGGCCTGAATTCTAAGCTACTCCAGGAGTTACTCATTTTTCCCTGGGTATATTCATGAGGTACATATGTTAATAAATTTGTTTGTTTTTCTCTGAATCTTTTATTGCAGAGGTTTCAGCTACGAACTCAGAAGGGTAGAGAGAAAATTATTTTTCTTCCTCTAGAATGAATGAAGAAGTACTTTGTTTTCCATTGTGATTGGTTACTAAAAACTTACATTCCTTTTAGGGAAGTAGTAATGTACAAGTTTACTTCTTTGTAGCTGATTGGCTAAGGAGATGCAAGGTCACCCCAACATGAAGAAAGCTTAACTTTCATTTAAGGACAAAGTCAGCATTTGAGGGGAAATTAGGGCAGTTTAAGTTTGAGTTTCCCGGCTATGGATGCTTGGCCTAGGGTTACATCCAAACTGTGGCCTCCATTTTAGCTTTTTTTTTTTTTTAAACATTATACATTTAATAGTGTTACTCTCTGGGATACATGTGGTTTTAATTTCTTTCTTGTGCTTTTCTGGCTACCGGTGAACCTTGCTTTTTGTGTAAGTGCATTTTAAAGAAAGTCCCTCACACAACGTTCACGTTCCCTGAATACGTTGTGTATGAAGCCTCATAAGCAGCAAGGCACTCCAAAAACATCCTGATAATGGCTCCAGCGTTGGGGAAGGGAACATTATCTACTGGGAACATTGTACATTTGGAACTCAGAATCTAAAATGCCACTTCACAATAATGTGAACCCCTTAAACTTTTAATATCTTTTTTACTCCTATAACAAAACCAAACTAAACAAGAGTATTAACCCGGCAATCAATCACCAGATTCTGTTCTTCCTTAATGCCGAAGAAATGACAGCGCAGAAGATATTTAAAAGCTGGCATCTTCGGGAAGGCGCTCGGTAAACGCCCTGTGACTTCCCTAGAAGGCCGGAAGGGTGGAGGCGGAATGGAGGGCACCCCCGAGCCCTGACACCTTCCATGGCGGAGCACCGTGGCTTCCCCACAGCACCCACCCCTCCCATCACACTAGCTTCTTTCTCCCCAAACCGGCTTGGCGCCTGCTCCAGGAAGTCCTAAATGTCCTCTGGCAACGACCATGTAGGCTGCGCTCCCCTCTCCAGGTTCCAGGCCCGCCCTGGTGCGGAGCTTGCGATTCCATTGACCCCCAACTGAGGGCACTAAAGGAGAAGATTCCGGCACCTCTCTCTCTCCCACTTGCGTGTGCCAAGTACAGCATCTTCCTCTGCGTACCTTCTAGAAACCATAGAGGCTTCGCAACTCTATGGTTGGGTTAATTATGTAGAGGTCTCAAGTCACTAGCGCCTGGGGCATGCGACTGAGCCAATCAACGTGACTTCCAAACCCCGCCCCCTGCGGTAAGAATCACCTGGTACAGGGAGACAGGGGCTTAAAAATTATTTTACTAAGATCCCCTCCATCCATACTACTTGTATCCAAATGTCTAGGGATGGACCCTGGTGCAACTGGTATTTGAAATATCTCTTCTTGTCAGAGTAGCTGATTGGATAAGAAAGCACGACTCATATATATGTTGTTTACAAGCGACCCACCTCACAACAAAAGACTCACATAGGTTGAAAGTGGAGGGATGGAAAAAAATCTTCCAAGCAAACGGAAAGGAAAAAAAGCTGAGGTAGCAATACTCATATCTGATCAAATAGATTTCAAAATGAAGGCCATAACTAGAGACAAAGAAGGCCAATACATAATATTGAAAGGATCTATCCAACAGGAAGATATAACCTTGATAAACATATATGCACCCAATACAGGAGCACCAAAATATATTAAAAATCTTCTGGAGGACTTCAAAGGAGAAATCGACAGCAACACAACCATAGCACGGGGCTTCAACACCCTGCTAACACCACAGGATAGATGCTCTAGACAAAAAATTAGCAAGGAAACAGAGACTCTAAATGAAGCACTAGACCAAATGGATTTAATAGATATCTACAGAGAATTACACCCCAAAACTACAGAATTCACATTCTTCTCAAGTGCACCTGGGACATTCTCAAAGATAGACCACGTGTTAGGACACAAACTAAGTCTCTACAAGTTCAAGAAGATTGAAATCATATCAAGCATCTTCTCAGATCACAATGCCATGAAACTAGAACTCAATTGCCACAAGAACATGCAAAGACATCTGAACACATGGAGGCTAAATAGCATGTTATTAACAATGAATGAATGGATAACCGAGGAGATCAAGGAAGAAATTAAAAAATTCCTGGAAACCAATGAAAATGAACTCACAACAACACAAAATCTATGGGATGCAGTGACAGCAGTTCTGAGAGGGAAGTTCATAGCACTACAGGCCTACATCAAGAAACAAGCCCTGGCCGGTTTGGCTCAGCAGTTAGAGTGTCGACCTGCGGTCCAGAGAGACCTGGGTTCGGTTCCCGCTAGGGGCGCGTACCTTGGTTGCAGTTTGTCCCCGGCCCTGGTCGGTTGTGCGGGTGGCAGCCACTCGATGTGTTCCTTTCACGTCGATGTTTCTCTCTCTCTCTCTGTTCCTCTCTCTCCCTCCCACTCTACCTGAACAAAAAATAGAAAAATGTCCTCGGGTGAGGATAAAAAAAAAAACAAAAAAACAAGAAAAATTTCTAATAGACTATCTAATCTCACAACTTAAAGAACTAGAAAGCAAACAAAAAGAAAACCCCAGAGCAAGTAGAAGGAAGAAAACAGTCAAGATCAGAGCAGAAATAAATGACATAGAGACCCCAAAAACAATTCAAAGGATCAATGAAACAAAGAGCTGGTTTTTCAAAAAGATAAACAAGATTGATGGACCCTTAGCTAGACTCACCAAGAAACAAAGAGAGAGAACCCAAATACACAAAATCAGAAATGAAAGAGGAGAAGTAAAAACTGACACCACAGAAATACAAAAGATCGTTAACAACTACTATGAACAATTATATGGCAACAAATTTGACGATCTAAGCCGAATGGACAAATTTCTAGAAACACATAGTCTCCCAAAATTGAACCAGGAAGAGATAGAAAACTTGAACAGACCAATAACAACTAAGAAAATTGAAGAAGTAATCAAGACCCTCCCAGCAAACAAAAGCCCAGGCCCGGATGGCTTCACGAGGGAGTTTTATCGAACATTCAAAGAAGAACACCCATTCTCCTCAAATTATTTCAAAACATTCAAGAAGAAGGAAGACTTCCAAACTCGTTTTATGAGGCCAGCATAATTCTAATTCCAAAACCAGAAAAAGACACTACAAAGAAAGAAAACTACACGCCAATATCCCTGATGAACATAGATGTCAAAATCCTGAACAAAATGCTAGCAAATTGGATCCAGCAAAACATCAAAAAAATTATTCACCATGATTTATCCCAGGGGCGCACTGCTGGTACAATATTCGCAAATCAATAAACGTGATACACCACATAAACAAAATGAATAAAAACCACATGATCATATCAATAGATGCTGAAAAAGCATTTGAGGAAATCCAGCATCCATTTCTGATAAAAACGCTCAGCAATGTGGGAATACAAGGATCATATCTCAACATAATAAAGGCCATATATGAAAGACCTACAGCCAACATCATACTCAATGAGCAAAAACTAAAAGCATTTCCCTTAAGAATAGGAACAAGACAGGGATGCCCACTTTCTCCACTCTTATTTAACACAGTACTGGAAGTCTTAGCCAAAGCAATCAGACAGGAAGAAAAAATAAAAGGGATCCAAATTGGAAAGGAGGAAGTGAAACTGTCATTCTTTGCAGATGACATGATATTATACATAGAAACCCTAAAGACTCCATCCAAAATCTCCATACTTAATAAATGAATTTGGCAAAGTAGCAGGATACAAAATTAACATCAAGAAATCAACAGCATTCTTAAACACCAATGATGAACTCACAGAAAGAGAAACTAAAAAAACAATCTCATTTACCATTGTGGGAAAAAAAAAAAAAAAATTTAAAATACCTAGGAATAAACTTAACCAAAGAAGTAAAGAACCTATTTGCAGAAAACTACAGGACATTAAAATAAGAAATAGAGGAAGATATAAAAAAGTGGAAGCACATACCTTGTTCATGGATTGGAAGAATTAACATCATTAAAATGTCCATACTACCCAAAGCAATCTATAGATTCAATGCAATCCCCATCAAAATACCAATGACATATTTCACAGAACTAGAAAAAATACTTCAAAAGTTCATATGTAACCAAAAAAGACCCTGAATAGCCACAGCAATTTTGAAAAAGAAGGACAATGTAGGTGGGATCGCAATACCAGATATCAGGTTATACTAAAAAGCTACTGTAATCAAAACATCCTGGTACTGGCACAAGAACAGGTATATAGTCCAGTGAAACAGAACAGAGAAACCAGAAATGGACCCAAGACATCATGCTCAATTAATATTTGACAAAGGCGGCAATACTGTACAATGGAGTAAAGACAGCCTCTTTAATAAGTGGTGTTGGGAAAATTGGACAGCTACATGCAAAAAAATGAAACTAGACCACCAACTTACACCATTCACAAGAATAAACTCATAATGGATAAAAGACTTAAATGTGACCTGTGGAAGGTCCTCCCTGAGGACTGAGGGGTCCCTGTCCCACACCAGGCATCCAGCTCAGGGTTCCAGTGCCAGGAAGAGAAGTCCCCATAGCTTCTGGTTGGAAAAACCAGCGGGAACTGAGGCTCAGGAAGGCTGAGGTGGCTGGAGCCCCAGGCAGCTCCTCTTAAAGGGTCCGTGCACAAACTTATCGGACTTGCTCCCTCTAAGCTTGGAGGGAAGGCAGCTCCAGGGACACCAGAGACATATAGGGAAGAACTGAGCTGTTTGGCATTGGAGCAAGGGCTGGAGAGGGGGCTTTCTCCAGGACAAACATGCTGTCAGAGGCCTTTGTTCCTTTGGTGAGCCCTTCCCTGGGGCAGCAGACAGCCCCCATATCTGGGACTCCAGCAACCTGGCTCACACTAGTTGCCCCACCCTGGTGATTCCCTGAGGCCCCGCCCCTCCCAACTTTCAGGCCCACCCAAGCTGTTGCCACTTGCTTAACCATAGGAATGGCCTGTCTTGGATCCTGCTTCAGGTTTTCCTAAATTCTTTCAAACAAGCAGCATCTGGTCTCAGCTAGCCCCATACCTCTTGTTAAGTAATATACAGAAACAAACACAGAGAGGCAGGCAAAATGAGGAGACAAAGAAACAGGTCCCAAATGAAAGAACAGAACAAAACCCCAGGAAAAGAACTAAGCGAAATGGAGATAAGCAACCTAACAGATGCTGAGTTCAAAATACTGCTTATAAGGATGCTCAAGGAACTTAGTGAGGGCCTAAAGAGCATTAAAAAGGACCAGTCAGAAATGAAGGATGCACAGTCAGAAATGAAAGAGGCACTAATTGAAATAAAGAATAATTTACACAGATTCAATAGTAGAGTAGGTAAAGCCAAGAAGCAAACCATCAATTTGAAATACAAGGAAGCAAAAAACACCCAATCAGAAGAGCAAAACGAAAAAAGAAGAAAAAAAAATGAGGATAGTGTAAGGACAACTTCAAGCGTGTCAACATTCGCATCTTGGGGGTGCCAGAAGGAGAAGAGAGAAAACAAGAAATCGAAAACCTGTTTGAAACAATAATGGCAGAAAACTTTCCTAACTTGGTGAAGGAAAGAGACATACACGTCCAGGAAGCACAGAGAGTCCCAAACAAGATGAACCCCAGAGGCCCACACCAAGACACATCATCATCAAAATTCAAAAGGTTCAAGACAAATAGAGAATCTTAAAAGCAGCAGGAGAAAGCAGCTAGTTACCTATAAGGGAGTTCCCATAAGGTTGTCAGCTGATTTC